CAAAGCAAATGGTCTCCTTTTAACAATTTGGATTCGGTAACCGTCTGCGAAATTACGCCCATAATGATCTTGTAGTGACATGAAGACTATCATGGGAAAGTTGCTAAATGCTGCACCTGTTGGTTTTAGTTTAAACTATCAGCCATCAATTTACTAATACAAGTATTTGCGGTATGCTTTCAAAGCACCCCCAAAAATCGTACGTTGACGACTATTTCATTATTTTCCCCTCCTAGCCGTTCCAAAACGTACGATCCAGCTCGTATGCGTGCAAGCCAATGCCAAAAATCGTGATGTTTGTACATTAAGGAGATTGCGTTGTTGAAAGGGGCAGAGATATGGAGGCCGTCCTCCGCGGGATATCATTTAGAGAACAATGCCTCGGAAACGAGCAAGTGTGTAGTTTCGAGCTAAATTGTACCAGAACATCTTACGAGGCCATTAAAAAGCAGCAATTAGGGGCGATTGACGCTATATCTTTCAAAGAAATGCGTTTATTTGGTGAAAAAGCGTTAGATCGCCAGGAAACCGATTTCGCGCAATTTGATTAATTACCGCGGAAGGCAGAAGGAGAACGTGTCGTCGTTGCAAATGACTCTACATTGGTAAAGCGCGCATTAATATCCCGCAAAAACTAGTCCAAACGATAGACATTAAGGCAAACAGACGATGGGTTGCCATGCAAACATTTACTAGCGTGAAATATGGTGCTAAATTATAAAGGTCCCAAAGACGCCCTGGCGAAGTAGGATAAAAACAATTTCTACGCCTCAGATAAAAAGACTAATTCAACACGACAGACGTCTTTGAAAGATTACAGCGCTAAGTCTTGTGATTGTGATGAGTTGAAGTCGGCTTTTCTGTTTGCTTCCGAGCAAATAGCGTCACTGTAACCGAGCAATCACTGATTACCGCAGAGAATTCGATTCGGTGATCAAGTGACAATATGAAAACGCATGTTGAATAATTTACACCGAACAAAGACTATCGCCACTTAAAAGAAAAACAAGTTTGTAGTTCGTGCTTGGGAAAGTTTTAGGCCAAACATGCAACTAGGGTGCGCTAATATTTCGACGAAGAATGCATGCTTTAGAAAAAAAATGAGCAAATTTCCAAATCAATTTGAAACCTCGTTAATATTCTTTATAGACAGTATCAAGGACATCGCAGTAAAATCTTGAAAATGGATCGTTATCAGTTATCGCGTAAGAGATATTTACATCCTAAGCTTTCAAGAAGCCAGGAAATGAATTGTGGAAAAGATCTCTCCCCCGCCTTGGAGAAAAATTAATTTAGAGAAGCAGGCTGCGATAACAGACGGACCAAAAATTAAACAAAACAAAACAACGCTCGTTTCGGAGACATGTAAGCGGTAAAGTCTTTTTGAAGACGTTTGAAATACTACCGATAAGTAAAACATACGGAAAGGAAGAGTCATTTGGATTGAAAGGCCTGATTAAACGCTGCAGCAAACAGAAGGCTTTTTAAATGAAAGTTTAATAACAATTTTTCACCGCATGGCGCGGAGCTGCGAACACAAAGATGAACTGCCGTTCCCGTGGTAACATTGATTATGATAATGTGAATGGTTGTGCAAGACCCGTAGGAGCGCGTATTTGAGGCGATCAAGGAATAAAAAAGAGAAGGAGTTAAAAACAAATTATTGCGCTCATTTGTTTATCGCACTTAAAATTGATGAAAGCGTCGTAGGTGATGAATTATAAGCCCGATCTGTGAGCTCGAAGCAATTTTTGATAGAGAGAGAAAAAACTTGGAAACATGCCTTGCCAATTGTTACTGGACTAAATTAAATCCGACTGATAGAGAAAGTGCGTCTTTTGTCTCTTGCGACAGAGTGACTGAGAAACAGACATGATCTTTTAGTCCAGATTTCCGATGCAAAAAACATCATTTTTCGAATTGCGTAATATGTGTCCATTCGGCAACGATGATTTTGGGGATAGTTCCGCTGTTTGCGCGCAAATCGACGGAAAAACTCATTTTGTTTCTTTCTTTTCCTTGCGAATAAATATTCATTGGCATGTGTTCGAAATCTTAGAAAAGAACACACTGCCTGGTAACGCATTGCTACGAAAATTCAGCTGTGCCAACATGAACGTGTTTACGCGCGTCACTAGCGAATAGCGATTGCAAAGGAAACCACGTCCTTTCAATTTGTAACTACGCGAGAAACTTCGATATATCGTGATAGTCTTATCTGAGATATTTTCAGCATGGGCTTCTCAGCCCAAATTCCAGTAATTAGTTGAAGCGAGCGAGAGCGTAAAGTAATTGATGGTTTGATGAGTAAAAAGCCTCGCGCTTAACTCATTTCTACACATCACGGGACTGTATAGGTGAAGATTGCTGTCAGCTAAGTGCTCTATTATGGAAGAATTCCAGCTGACTCAATATAAAAGAACATACATCAGGGCGACATCAGAACACGGTTAATAAATAGAATTCAAAGAAATAAACAATTTGCCACGGTAAACGTGAAATATCTTCCCATAGAGGCGAACTCTCCCTACTTGTCTTTTAAGCACAGACTTGGCGACGACTCTAAAAAAGTCAATAAGTCCGCACCTGCTGTTATGTACGATGACCTTCGTATATCGTCGTCGCTTTCCATTCGATTTTTGTGCAATTTGTGTAAAACCCTTATTAAATTTTCACTTTACGCAAAGAGAAATTGCCTCAGAAAAGGGAAAAACATATTGTTGAAAGTTTGACTTCATTCAACCTCGCGGGAAACTTATTGAAAGCAAATTAACATATTGAATAGTATCCCCATCTTCCCGCGACAGATTGAGTAAAGCATTTCTTCTCCTACATAAAGATAAAATAAGAAATGTGATGGGATTTTTTTTTCTTTGCTGCGTTTCCGCTTTTCCATTTCTCACCAGCCGCAGGAAAAAGACACGATATGAATTGACGCATAAACGAATGCTACGAATACTAATGAAGCACCTTGCTGTGATTAAGCCAAGGAATCACAACTCGATCGCATTATACATCTTCCGCCCCAAAAACTTTGCGATCCTTAAGTATCTAGCTAAAAAAAGCGAGCTTAAAGGCACGAAAAACGTTTCTCGAACCCATGGGACACATCAGTAAGTTCAGAGGCTGTTTCAATGTACAGAAACATCGCAATTTAAAAGGACACACAGAAAGAGAGTTGCAACGCTTTCTTTGTTGACACTCAAGACAAAGGAGGGAAATTCGACTATCGGAATCATAAACTAGACTTATCCGTTGCCTCTTGGTTTCCCACGAAAACCTGTATTTTTTTCGAAAAAAGTCAGATCTACCTTAAAGACAGACTTTTTATTGAAATTTCTCTGGTGATCAAAAGCTTGGTCGAATTAAGAGGAAAAACTAGACAAACGTTAATTACAAACATTGAGCGACATAATGAATATTCGTAATCGGTCAAAATTCCAATATGGTTGAAATCGTTTACACATCTCCCCGAATGCGTTAAAAGCAATGGAAGTTTGAAGCTAACGGATCAAATATTTCCCAATCCGAAATAATCTTACAATAATAAACCGTCAGTTTCAGAAGGAGCAAAAAAACTCTTAAGTCAAAGAACACGTGCGTACAAAAATGTTAGCACACACGGCGCGAAAACAAACCTTACATTTCTTTTCAATGCATTTTCGCATTCAGCGAAAAGCTTTCATAAATAATCCTTATTGCTCGTGAGTCAAATATCGTTACTCATGCATACGAAAAATTTATGTTTTAGGAAAATAAATATTAAGGATACTTTTTCTGTCGCGACAGCCAGTTTTTTCTAATAGCAAATTCGAATCCTTCGGGTGTTCCCTATTCATTGATCAGTCTCTCAGTGAAGGCGCATTGTTGAATACTTGTGTAGTAGCTAACAATCGCATGGAAACACAGCACTGATGGTTTTAACAAGGAATTCCTCCCTGAAACAGAAGGGTTGTCCTAACAGCGACAGCGTGAAACGGCTCAACAAACAATCAGTTGGCTACGATTTTTGCCATGCAGTAAATTAAGGGGACGTGATCGGCAGAATTCGCTTTTGACAAATATTGCTCTTATACAATGAGGACCACGCGCCATCTGTTTTTAAAACTACCCAAACTCGCCAGAGGAGTAATTCAATATTCAATCTTTAGCGTAGATAAAACCCCTCAAGGCTACACTGAACTGTCATAGAAAATACAAGAACCAAAATAAACGCCGTCGATCAAAGGCTAACAGGTTGTGAAAACCTGCCTCTGGAGCATTCTGCATGTTTTGTTGCGAGCGCGCAAATAGTTTCGAAGTGATAAGCGTTCCGGCGATTTTTACCAGCAAAATACTTCGCTAAAGAGGATTAATAAGGGCATCTAGGATAGGAAAGTCGCCGGCAATTTTATTAGATTCCATTCTTTGATTTTATCTTTTGACTCAATGAGAATCTTGAGGGGGATGATTACTGAAACGTCATGAGTTGATCTAGCAAATTAGACCGCGCGCGTCGAATTTTATGAGGAGTTCTCAATGAGCAGCTCTGCGGAAATCCACTTTGAAAACTTAAAATGAGCAACAAAGGCTAGTTTAATATTTTCTTCCGTTTACTGAATAGACACTTTCCTTCAAAGAATCCGCTAACATTCTACAAAATATTAATATCAGCGAAGTGGGAAAATTTCTTCATGACAGCTGCGCGTTTCTCAGAATAAACACCGCTCGCTTACTACCAAGGAGCACAAAAACAACTAACAAATTGGACAGGAAAATTTATACAGATTTGCACTACTTATAAGTTAAAACTACATCTTCGCAAATTTACAGTGTGTATAAGAATTCGACCGACTACACCTTCTCATACATTAAAAAATTTGTACAATGCGTTCTAAAATTCATAATGCTGTTCTGAGGCATTGTCTAACCTCTTTGTAAATATAATACTATTTTACAATTTTTGTACAAGAAATTTACACAGTCAAATGTTTATATTTTATCATGGAAAAAACGAGAGTTCACCCTTGTCGCACAGGAACCTGTAGTACGATGACCTGACGATTTTCGGGCGGGTGGCATTTATTTATGTGCCTTGTAAGACCAGGCGAACTATAAAATGTGCTAGAGCAGTGTTTACAAGAGTAAATTTCACCTGTGTGGATCCGTGCATGCCGATCCAGACTGCCCTTATTGGCGAATCCATTACCGCAAACGTTGCAAATAAATGTTTTCGGGCCAACCGCGTGATTCAGGACGTGCTTGGCGCGATTTGTCAGGCTGCGGAAAACCTTTCCGCAGTACTGGCATGGATATGGTCGGTCGTCATTGTGGTTGTTCATATGTTTCCTTAGGTAGGCTTTTCGTCGGAATGTTTTGTTGCATACTTCGCACACAAATTGCCCTTGACTATTTCCGATCGGACTGGTCGATCGCACCTCACTTTCAGCGTTGGTCGTGACACCATTTTTGCTGTCTTCGCCGCTGGTTTTCGGACTGTTTGGTAGCTGTTCGCCTCGGGTAGCTGGCACTTGCGAAGGAGCTGGCTTCTTTTCGTGCGGCGAACGCGGTCGATGCCATCTTCGGTGCGACGCCAGGTTCGCAGGGCAGCTGAAGACTTTGTCGCACTCTGGGCATCGATATTCAGTGTGCTGAATTCCGCTACACTTGTGTTGAGCAAGCGAAAATGGATCTGAGTAGACTTCTTGGCAGAGCTGACAAATAAACTGCGATTGCGGAAGCGGGCCTTTGGGTTTCGGAAAGTCGTACTTGTCTTGATAAATGGCAAACTCTTTGTGCTCGAGCACTGCGGTTTTGCCACCATGATCTGAATGTTTTTCGTTGAGCGCCTCGCGTCCGGTGTTACCGTTGCTTTCTCTTCCCTTGGTCGCTTTGTCTCGGTTCTCGGCAAGCGGCGGATTCGGTTTGAACTTCTTCGGAGAGTTTTCCTTTTCTTTTTCAACTTTAAAGGGCTTGAAAGCGCTACTGGTAACATTTCCGTTAGACGTTGAGGTGAGCAGCGTACTTAACGAAGTTAACACCGGTGCTTTATCCGAGTTGGCCAGCGATGATGAATGCATAATGTCTGAAACCGCAGACGAAGTGGATAGCTCAACACTATTTCCTTCACGATATGAAGGTAGTGCATCGTACTCTAAAGATCTTCTCTCAGACGCACTTGTTCCGCCGTGTGATCTCTTGTTCTTCTTCACTAAGAATGCTTTGGGCATGATCGCTCCTTTGTCAGTCCGACACTACCAGAAGTCGCTTTGAAAATATTTTTTTAGGTCAACCAGGAACCGCTGGCGAGTAATAAAAATAATAATAATAAACGCGAACGTTTATATATTTTTAAAACCGTTATCTGGTCTTGTACGCGAACCCGTTTCCGCTCTTCAAAGTTATCCTGTTTGGCGAGGTCCAGCGGCGAAATTTCTCGGCCGAGCGCGAGAGATGTCTACGCTATCTGTTGGAAGCTGAAATGTTCTTAAGATCGGAAACGCAAATGTTTTAATTGTGTCGGCGCAAGCAGCTGCTATGCTGTTCGGTGGTTGTTAAGAGGACTTAAGGACTGTTCATTGAAATGTCACACGCGAGAGCTCCTCCCTTTGTTAAATATGTTTTTTTGTTGTTATATCCCCACACGTGTTTCGTATTGTTTTCCTGACGGGTGTATGGCCGTATTAACATTTCATTAAAAATGAGGGTGTGTCGCTCTTAGCTTCGAAGCCCGTATTCGAGCAACGGTTTAAGATTTTCTTGAATTAAGAGTATCTTGCTGATAAAAATCTGCCCGGCAAATACGGATATTGAATTGGACTATTTGCCCATAAAATCGCTCATATTTTTGCAAAACAACCACAAATAATACCTTATGCAAATCGTAGTGTTTATGCATAAACAACAGTTTCCGGCCGAAACGGAACGCAGTGTCTAATTACGCAGTAATTTGCAACACGTGCATTTGATTGGCAGCTGTCCTAAAACGATGGCCTTTCATTGGTTCATAACTGGTTATAACAGATCGTTTCATTGGCTAAATATCAATGGTTTCATGCCAGAACATGATTTACATTTTATTATTATTTCGAACAGCAAGAATTTGGGTTCTTTATGTGATCAGGGTAAAAAAAGAAAACTGAATGCCGGAACTAATAATAAGGAGATGAAAAAGAACACAACGGAATAGTTTACAAAACTGACAGAAAATACATCGCTTGAGAAATTAGGTTTCTTGGAAGCTATTTTCGTAAATTACTATTAAAAGGACGCAGTAAAAATTCACTAAAACTCGCTAAAGACCGCTTTTAAACGCTCAAGAAATTTATTCAGTGAAAGCAGATGTTTCACCCCCTTAAGATAGTTCTGCATAGATTAGAGAATTCACCCGCGTAAGCGAATATCGCCTAAAATAAAGTGAATTTCTAAAATTGTCTCCTCTATCTTCAAACCGCACGTAGACTGAAAGTTATTAATTTATTTATTTTGGACGATGGGAACGAGAGTGATCTACTCAAACAAGTAAAATTGCATTACTATGGATATATTCGCCTTTTAACGGGGAATTGACAATAGAGGGAATTATACTTCGACGCGCATAGTTTTAAAAAGTGTTTTCACGTAAGATGATTTGTTTGATGCTCGAACTCGCGATCATGTATGAGGAAAGAGGGTTAGGAAATTTGAAATTTTAGCGTAATAGTTGAACTTGGGCATGGAAACGATCCCAGCAGCTGTGTTGTTCTTTTTGTTTTTAATTTCCTCCCGCTCAGAATTCTATTCTCTATTTCGTCCTTCGCTGCGATTTTTTTCTTGGTTCTTTTTAACGCCCCCAAAAACCTTACGCCGCAAAAATATCTCGGTTTCTTTTACCCCGAAAGAAAATTCAATTGACGTTAGCTGGAATTTTTTGTCTTCAATAGCCTCAACGTGCCTTTCCGAGGCTAAAAAAAAATACTCAGGGTTCCATTTAAACAAGGTAAACATCTTTTCCCAGCTTTGTATAACTCCAACCTAGCGCAATTAAGCCCATTGACAAACTGTCCTCGCAGCTTTTTCAATCTTCAAATCTATCGGCTCGTGCGGATGTTCTTTCCTGACACAATACAGAGCGCTCTCGAGATTGGTCAAAAGAGTTAAAAAGCTTTCCAAAAGAATTGTCCTGGCTTCATTACGGTCGCTCGGACTACCGTAGCAAAACAATTTCAGTTTGCTTTTTTCAGTTTTGAACACAAAGGAGACGCGCTAAATTGTTGCAGGCGCTCATCAAAGCATGCACGTAGTTTAGACACTTCGCTTGTCAATAGAAAAGAGGCAGGAAATATTCGCACTAAAACAAAGGTACTCGATCGAAGAGACTTTATTTCGAAGAGCGCTGCCTTTCCCTTGCGCTCCTCTCGCAAAGAGCCAGCTTTCACGAGAAAAGAGCATCGGAGTGCAAAAAGGCATTTAAAGGTGTAAGATAAATAATTTAGGAGAACTCACTCGACTTAGAATTGAACGACGGCCTTCGCGGATAATTAGAAAAGCATTGCGATCCAGAGGCAGGTGTAATCTTGAATACATGAATACAATTTTCGAAAGAGAATAATTAAAGAATTTATTGTACATTTCTCAAGACACTTTGCAAAGAATTAACATATCTATGGCATCATCTGTGCGTTTGATCGCTTCTCTCACGGTTTAAATCAGACCATAATAGAACAATTTTAACGGGAGTTGACGCCAAAAAGCCGGATCAATGAATCAACCTTATTGCGCCGAATAATGGTAACTCGAAGTTTGATCTTTTAGGCGCTTGCTCAATCGGCGTTTTGAAATGGATAAATATGTTCTGGGAATTTTAATGAACAAAAGGCTAAGTGTAAATAGAACAGAGAAGTCAGCGATCGGAAATCTGTTAAGAGAAAACCCGACCAAAGTTCAAGAATGCGTAGGACGCCATAGAATATGTAATCGATATTTTTTTCCTCTGCGAGGCGAGTATTTTTGTTCGACTGGCGAGCGTTGAACTGCACTAAGAGCTTAAAACGGAGTTAACATAGCAAGATTAAAATACAAAGAGTTTACTTTCTAAAAACGATTCCACTTAAGACTGAATAATAGGAAAGGAAACTTCGTTCCGAGATTAAAAAGGAGATCATTCCCGCATATAATCGAATGAGTTAGACATTTGTTCCCGAAGTGATTGGAAAAATGTATTGCCCCTGCAAAAAAGTAATTATAAAAGACACTTTGTTGAACGATTTCGTCTGAGGAAATTATGTGACACAATGTCACTGGTAAAATGAGTTTTTAAGCCTGAGGATTCAAGACGTTTTTCTGTGGTGGTTGAACGTGCCAAAAGTTCCCACAGTCGTACAATACATTCTAAAGAATCCATTACGATAACGGGATAGGCTACTCCGAGTCGCGTTAATTGAGTTTTTCTACAAATGCTTACAAACGAAGCAAGGTTTTGTTATTCTAATTATCAGAACGCACACACACACACACACATTCAAAGAGAGCTAGCTGAAAAACAGCTGTTCGCATTTGCATTTTAACAAATGAAACTCGACACAATTCGGCCAAGAAATTAAAAGAAGAGGAAAATAGAAAAATGGTAGTGTATATCTCAACACGTTAAATGCTCCTATAGCAACAATGAATAATATCACGGAAAGCTGTTTACTCGGTAAAAAAGACAGCATTCACATTGACCATGCTAGATAGCCTCTTTCATCAATGACGTAGGAACTGACGGGGAAAATGTAATCTAGTCTTGTACGTTTGTGGGTGATATTTTACTTTAGGGAAGTGATTAGACGCAAGTCTTGTCGTGAGGGCGTCTTTCCAATTGTTATGGCGACATAAAAGCTGCCTATCTGAAAGCGTTTACCTACAAAACTTCCAATAACGCTCTCTTTTCGTTTTCAAGCAAATATAATTAATTTAAAATATCGAAGTTAGGCGTCGGTTCGCGACAGCTTAAGTAGAAGCACCACCCATTAATCGCAAACACTGAAAGGTCGGGAATTAATTACAGAAGAATCCACATTTTTTTTTGTTTAATTCAAGTGAATTTATTTTAGATTAAGGACTGGCGACCGCACCACTTTAGTTTGGCTTTTAAGAAAACAATCACGAGGGGTGTTTTGTAGACACGCGACAATGCCACGCGACTTTGCAACATGTTACATTACATTTTCACGGATCAAAATATTATTTAAAGGGAACACGAGAGAGAAATACCATTCAAAATCATCTCGAAGAATTGCCAAACGAACAAACTTAACAGACGGTTTTGAGGTCAAGTTTCATTCGAAGAACATGTTTCTTGGAAAAATTTGTTATTCGCGTGCGCATAATGAACTGCACTTAATGGATAAACCTTGAAAAGGTTTCGTTGCAACGTTTTTTTTTCTCCCTTTAATGTGAACGCCAAATTAGATTTACCAAATCATGCGAGCTATATATTTGTTTTGTCAAGCCTCTACCACGGGAATGATGAATGACTTCAATTTTCATCGCCAGGCTGTAATTCAACTGTTATCCTGAAATGCTGTTACTTTTGATATTTGTCGAATGTTCGCTGTCGTTGTCCAATTTTCTTTTTTACTAAACGACGTTTATGAAAAATAGAAAATCATTTTCAAGAACGCCCTAAACCCTTGGCGAGTGTGAGTTATTCTGTCTCAAAACAATGCGAATCGGCTTTACATGCTTAAACGAAGCAGCTGCGGCGATTGTGCACAGCCTTTTCTACGCTTTCTGAGACGTGTGGCTGAATATTCTACCCTACTTTCAACATCGATCTTTTCAGTTCATTCAGTAAGGATTAATTTACGTCCTCAAAATCGCTTTTGCTTAAATGCTAAGAAAATTTTACCTTTACTACTCTTTTCGATGTAATGTAATGTCCATTTTCAGCTGTTATTTAAAAAAAAAAAAGGCACATTTCATTGGTAGCCGCTTCCTTGCATAACGTGTAGGATAATTGGAGGTAACCATAAAAAGTGAAATCAGTACTTTTTAAGCTTGTATTTAAAGCTTTTCCTTCTTACAAAAAATTTCGAGATTTTCGAGTTCGCATTTTATACGCGCTAACATTTCATTTCTTAATATTTTTTTCGCGGCCCGCATCTAAGTACTGTTTTTCAGTTGAGTCTTTCTCATACAAAATTATGAGTTTGTTCGTTTAAGTTTATTAGCTCCTAGTTACGCAAATGAGATTACGCCGTGGTTTGAC